TTTCTTGGACGTGGACCTCGACCTAACTAACTTGGATAGATGTGACACTATCATGGTGTACTTTCTTGGACGTGGACCTCGACCTAACTAACTTGGATAGATGTGACACTATCATGGTGTACTTTCTTGGACGTGGACCTCGACCTAACTAACTTGGATAGATGTGACACTATCATGGTCAAAGCCCTGTCCAAGCTGAAAACTGAGTACTCGCTAATTAGGGCTATATATACTCTCATAATCTTTAAAACTGATCAACAAGATTACAACAACCACATGACAGATGATGTCATCTAACGACGAATCACCGACCTTAGCTCGGCTTGTTTGTCCAGCRCCAGAAAACTCTATCTGTCCATAGGCGTCGGTAGGCTCTGTGCCTGTGTTCACTAATGGGTTCCATGTGATTTCACTGCTCGGGATGTGACGTAATGCTAGCAAGCTATGGGCTCTCTTACCCAGTCCACAGCCACACCTAAAGTACAGGCATTAATATCAATRCTRAAGCAAAACAATATTAAAAGAAAACATTTTTTAAATGTTTTTGTGCTGAATGTWCTTGGAGCGCTACAACGATTCGCAATGGGCTGCTATTGATGATGCGATGCTATTTAGTGTAGCAAASATGGAAAATTTTTCTTTGCCGAAATAGAAGTGCAACTTCTAATTCTTTTATGAAGATAGTTTAAGCTATAAAAAGTTCGARGACCACAACTAATATAGCACTACACATTGTGTATATATTCAATGATAGAAAAAAATCGCGCAAGCGCTTGACAACTGACATCTTGCGCATGTCTCCTTATTTGTTAAACAAAGAAATGGATGTCACATTGATCATTTGTTTCCATACCTCTCTCGGTCATTCTTGGTCGGCACAAACTGAATGCAAGTTCGTTTAGAAAAACGTCTGAGGCCATGCTGTATCTCACTCTGTAGTATAGAAAACGTTATGGTTTCTTAACTTTTTGCAAATGTTTCTTCTTGAATTCATTGTTAATATTCCCTCAACCCACTCCCCCAAACAGGTTTTACAGGGGGGTACTGGGTGTTTACTGGGTGAGCTTTTATTTGTCGCTTATTTGCATTTACAATAAGTCATCACTTGATTGGTGTTCTAAAATTAACAGAATAATCAATTCAACGGCAACGGTTGTCAAATTTACCCTAGAAAGCACACATGTATAGCGTAGCAATAACAACAATAATCAAGTTTCGAATTCTCCAATGCTCTGTGTTAGCCTCATTTGTGCGCAAAATATTCCTAATTGTGAGCATAGTTAATGTTGTGAGAATAAAAGTGTGAGATTTCAAATCAACTCTATTGTCTCTCTTCAAATTCCATGCGCTTTCACAAGCTGTCACTAAAACAAAAGAATATGTTACTTGGTTTTGAGGCAAACACAGAGCAAACCAGAACTCGAAATTGGAGTATTAAAAATTCGTTAATACTGGGTTTTAGCTCAAAAACTACATCTCCAGGATGAAGAGTGGTAGGAGAATATTTTAGACCTCTGAAATTATTGTTATATTATATGTACTTAATTATGGGTTTCCTGTGCCCTTATTAATAAAACCATGTGCTGGAATATGGCGTCTGACTGCTTGCAACCCACATAACAATTATGTCAAAATCTTTTAAAAACAGTGAAAACACTATAACCATATTATAAGTAAAAAGTAATTCAAAGTAAAGATAATATAAGCTACTAAATAAACTGAGTTTCGATACCTTTGGTCCATCTACAGCGTTGTCCTCTATGTCCGTGGTATTTTGTCCGTTTCCCATTGAATGGGCCAACGAGCTACGATAGCCTTTCTCTTTTCTCGACATTTCTTGCCGAAGTAAATAGTTGAAAGATTTTCTTCAGTCGAATTTATGTGTCAGAAACAACAACATTTGTGCTTTGTCTTCTTTGGCAAATACTTCAAAAATGAAAACACTTAGTGAAGTATTTCCTATCTCTCGAGCAAGGGACGAGTGACTGATTTCGGTAGAAGTTTTTGCATTGCAAATAATTGTTAAAGTTGGTTTGAACGATGGAATGTTACGTTCACGCATCGTTGACAACAACACGTCACAACCTTTATTCTCTTGCTGATACAAGTCGCTGTAGAGAGTGAAAGGGCAGCACTATTATCCTTGTACGGAAATTAAGCATTGATCAAGTATTCTTTTTAACTGTGGCATTTGGTCTTGGTCGCTAAAAACAATGATGATTAGTGTTGTTTTAAAGAAGTCACAGCCCTAGGCAAGGGACTGGAGACGGAAACTTTCAAATATTTTGGAAACGCTACCATCATGACTGTTCATAAATGAAACCCGACTCAGCGAAGAGGTTTAAAAAGTAGGTTGTGGACTCACAAGAAAAAACGTTTTTATATAGTTTAAGGGTCTAGGGCGACTAGCCAAGTGTTCATGGTAACTGGCCAGACATCAACTGGCCATGTCCAAAACATGAGGACCGCTTTGCAAKGGGTGTTGCTAAGGTGTTTAGTCCGATTCAGATGGCTCTTACATTAAGAAAACATGGAGTAAGAAAAGGGTATGTTGGGGTTTAATCTTTAAAAAGTAATAGATGAAATTCACTGCCGGAACAGTTTTTGAGTCAGCAATTCTGCGCAGTTTTCAGTTGTATATTCTCTTTAATGAGCCAAAGAACTCTATTGTTATTATATTTTTTTTGGAGACAAAGAAACAGAATTGTTCTCCCTTGACTGACAAAGTTGACTTATGGGCCGACTTATGGAATCAGTCCAGAAAAAAAATTGTGATATCCGGACACGTGAGATGCGGCCTTAAAGAGAACATATCTTACTAGTTATAGGCCCACCTCCACAACTGATTTCCTTTATTTTTCTCAGTTGCTTTCTTAATTAATTGGTAACAAAACAAGAGATAAAAAAAATATTTTGATCATGCTAGCTAACGCTATCCAGACAAAGTATGTATGGGCAGATTTCGACTGCCTGGGCAAACTATTACCTATTAGTTGATTGCAAGGCCAATCAAATGACCACATTTCATAAAGTATGACTTTATTTGTCTTTTCAATGTTTGTTTCAAAAAACCGCTGTGCACTTTGTAGTCTGCACAAAACTTTAAGTTCTATAAAGAAAATATATTCTCCAATACTTTGACAATAATTTATAGACACATTGCTGGCTTTTTGTCTCTACTTGTTTCATCTTAATATTTTAATTAACTTTCAATTTCAATTATCGACCGACCACTGGTCGGATTACCAGTGATTACGCTAAGTTTTTACTGACAGAGTGCCAATCCCCGTTTCGCTGTGACGTCACTTCAATTCTGACACGATCTGTTTCAAGTATATTGTTATATCTAACAAATTGCTCACGCTTTTGAGTTGTATGTCCTCTTATTATTAGAACGTATTCGCATAACCCACTTTTTAAATGCTAATGAGTTTTGCTAATATTCTAATGAGATTGACACAAGAAACAAAAGAGCAAAACATGCTYGAGWGATTKCAAAATATTACTATTTTGAGCTCAGTTCAATAAATACACAATTTCAAACGGAAACATTTTTATTATTAAAGTTAATCAATTTCAACAGTTATTGGCTACAAGATTGAAAATTCCTTGAATGCCAACAGATCGTTTCTTTTAAGCGGTTGATAATGTTAATTTAAATTGTTTTAAATAAATTGGGCGCATGGGAAGAATTATAAAACAAGCATTGCAGACATCCACAGCCCGTCGATACCAGAATCAAAACYGATTCTGGACAATGAGGTCCGTTTCAAACGTCTATCTTTTGCCGCGTCTAATCTAATTACTTGCATGTAGTTTACGAGAAGTTGAGATAGCTGTATAGCTTAAATAAAAATGTTTCCTTTTGAAATTTTGCATTTATTGAACTGAGCTCAAAATAGTTTTGAAATAATATTCGCTACTGAAACACTCAAGCATGTTTTTGCTCTTTTGTTTCTCGTGCCAATCTCATTAGAATATTAGCAAACTCATTAGCATTTAAAAAGTGGGTTATGCGAACACGTTCTATTGACACACTTTACTTCATAAAATGTTCAAAAGTCAAAACTGGACCCACGAGTGCAGCATTTTGTTCTCTCAATTGAGAGCGCGCGCGAGACGTGGTATCAGCACAGTGTGTATGTGTTCTTATAACACCACTCTATCAGCCAATCAGCGCGCGATAATTTACACAATTGTGGTAAAAATCACATCATGTCAAATTGAATACTTGTTGAAAGCCATTCACTGCCACACATCACTTACTTGACTTATCGTAAAGTACTTTCACTATTTGTAGAAAAAAGTCACGTAAGTATTGAGACAAGTTGTTTTGTTTTCAGCTATAAGTAGAAATCATTTCAGTTGTAACGACCAATAGCCTGCGATGTTCWGATGGCATGTACTTTATTGCTTCCAGAATACGACAAGATATGTATTGGCAGGGAAAGGCTTAACAACCCACACAAATGGCACATATCAAGTAAACATCAATTCCTTTATCGACACCACTGAATGCGACGTCCAAGAAGCTTCATGTGGGGTACAATATTAGAATCTATTATCACCCCACAAATGGAGCTGCATTCAAATGAACAGCGAGATGTCAATAAAAAGCCATACCACAGGCAGCCCTTTCATTAATTCTCAAAATTTCTGTTTCTTTTTTTTTTGCTTTTGTTCTATCGACTTCTCTTGATTTACAAATATTGCAATGAAAAAAAARGTGGACGAAAACAGAACCTTGTATGTATGTTTTTGATGATACAATCCCATCACGTTTTTTCTTGCTTTTCTTCATTTTTTCACAGAAYTATTATAAGTCAATTTATAAGTGAAAAATAACATGGCCTATAAGAAATGGTTGGGCTGCCTATGACCAGACCTCATGATAACGAAATTGTTACTGACATTACTGTCATTTTTTTCAGAGTTCATCATTTTTTTAAGTGACTCATATCTATATACAAACAGGAAGCCCACAATAGATATATCTATCATTAAGAACTATTTAAATAATATTAACAGTCATGATCTTGGTCGCTCACACAATTCACAGTGATTTAATGCTCCATGGTTGACTAATGTACAGTGTTTACACTGCCACATTTCCTCTGAAAATARCAACAAAGTCTGAAATTACATTGCAGATTGATACAATAATAATAATTTATTCAATTTATATAGCGTTATATAGTAAAATTCTATAACGCTTCACAGTACAAAAACTCATGATGAAAAATAAATATTAAAGATAAAAATAAGTTTTCCAAGTGGGTTACCTGTGTCGTTCTGTGATGTACTTGGAWTGTCTGATGGTGATGGCTGCTGATTGGGTGGCACTAATATCCAACCAGATCCCTCCAGGCTTTTATCCCGCTCAGGACTATGTGTTCCTGAAAAAACACAAATAAACACTATTTGATTCTGCATTCACAATATTTTAGTTTTCTCATAATGTTACTAGGGGCCAATGGTATTAGCAGCATTTTCAGGGAAGATCACATCAAAGGGTCCCAAGAAACATCAAGGCCCACATCAATCATATGTAATGTTAGTAAGAGGAGCTGTATTACATACCTTGACCCATGAGCCATGGTGGACGAGGACAACCAGGACCTTAACAAAGTACAATAGACCAATACAATTTATATAACAACTTCTCTATACTGAAAGCCTGTTACTTATCCATTGGTTACAGTATCTGTAGCTGATCAGTTTTGAACATTTGATTTTTCAATAGATGAGACTTTTTTCATTTCAAAGTTCTAACTTTATGTCCAGCACGATACAAGCCATTAAATATAGTTAATCTGACAAGACCGTTCAATTTGCTGTGACAATGATCTTGTAATAAAGGCAAATACAACAATAATAAACAAGGAAGGCACTCACTTTGTGTAAACCATGGAGGGCGTGGTCCATGTGGTCCTACATTAGAGATATCTACATTAGAATATATGCATATCACAACTCCATCTTGTTAGCTTTGTGCCGATTGACCTTATCGCTATTCATTACATGTACTACTAACCATTTACTGGMCCAGGGCGATTATTTGTCCAATTTGCAGGTGTGGGACGAGGAAAGCTTTCRCTTTTTTTCAGTGGCATTGGTACTAGAAGGTACCAAACAATGTTACATTCACACAATTACATGCATGTCAATCACAGACAAAAATACTTAAGTCAGAACAAAGTCAATGTTTCACAAGTGAAGTATTGATATTTCTGATTGGCTTATCAATGGGTGTCTCTGGGTATGAATTATCAATGGGTGTCTCTGGGTATGGATTATCAATGGGTGTCTCTGGGTATGAATTATCAATGGGTGTCTCTGGGTATGGATTATCAATGGTTGTCTCTGGGTATGAATTATCAATGGGTGTCTCTGGGTATGGATTATCAATGG